CATATGTGCACCAGTTCAAGTCGCCACACTCCCTCTTTGTAGCACACAAAGCAAGACAAGAAACTACAAGAAATGCATAATAGAGACAGTAAGCAGAGGTGTGAGACAAAGGAAGAGTAATAACGAAGAACAAAACAGTTTCATTGGAAATCATAAATCACAAGGAGTGGATGCATCTGCGCCGGCCATTAAGAACGATTTTGAGCCATGTCACCAACTGTTTCCAACCACTGGTTTTTACCGTCCCGAGGACCCCAACCAGGAGGCCAGTCTACACCTTCCTACGTGGCTGGCTTAGACTAACTGTTGTAGATTTCATTGACTCGTGAAGCCATGTTTTGGTTTGACCTCCGCTAGCTCTTTTCCAGCCTGACCCTATGTCAGCTAACACTGCCCGTCGAGGAAGGCGATGACTAGGCATACGCAACACATGTCCTAACCATCTCACTCAATCCATGTAACTTCACAACCTCGTCGATTGATTTCCCCTGTTTACCTAGAACTCGACCGAAGCCTAACCTCAATATTGCTCACCTTATTATGTCACTTCACACGGGAGATAGAACACAGGTACCTGTGATCAAACACAGCCAGTCTTTTCATGTCTTCCACTCTCAATGGACAGGTCTCACAACCATAAAGGAGGACGGAGCGGATTGATGAGCAGTACACCCGCCCTTTGGTCGATAGTCGAATATCTCGTCTACGCCAGAGACGGCGTAGACTGGAATATGCGAAACAAGCCCCCTGTATCCGTGCTGAGATTTCATCAGAGATCAACCTGTCGGGGCTGATGGTACTTCCCAAATAATTGAAGCGGTCAACGTGCTCTACCACTTCACTACCTATTTTTAAACTAGGCATCGGTGTATTCCAGTCCTGTAACATCATCTTGCAGTTGGCGGGAGCAAATCCCATGCCAAACATTCGTAGATTGCGGCTCAAGGTGTTTAGAAGACACTGCATTTTGTCAGCGTCCTCCACTAGAAGGACTATATCGTCTGCGTATTCTAAGTCAACGAAACTATTCCCTGGTAGCAAGTCAATTCCTGAGTCGCTGAAGTCACTTAGGGTTAAGTCCATTAGTTGAATAGAAAAGGGAATAATGGGAATCCTTGACGGACACCACTAGTCGTCACCAATTCAGATGACAAATCGCCGTAAGCCGTCACCTGGCTGCTTGAGTTCGAGTAGAGTGCCTTGATCAATGCAATGTATTTTCTCGGGATTCCCTTTACAGCCAAACATCGACAGAGAACCTCCCGGTCGACAGAATCGAATTCCGCCTTTAGGTCAAGAAATATAATGATTGTTGGACGCCGGTAGGAATGACTATGTTCTAGAATCTGTCGAAGGTTGAAGATATGGTCAATACACCCTCTTCCTGGTCTAAAGCCTGCCTGGCTTTCTCGTGTTTGTGCCTCCTGAGCACCACTTAGTCTACACATGATTATTGAGCCTAGGACTTTAGATACTACATTAGTCAAGCTAATCCCTCTGTGGTTATCACAGGAAGACTTGTCCCCCTTCTTGTATATGGGGATAATCAGTGACTTACAGGGACTTCTTCTGATTCCCAGACGCTGCCTAGAACCTCAGTTAATGCAGACAGTAAACTGTCTCCACCGTACTTAAACACCTCTGGAGTCATTCCATCAGGTCCCGCTGCTTTGCCTATAATAACATCAAATAAATACCACTGAATAAATAAAGAAACAACTAGGTCTTAGTGTGAACTACAAGTGTGAGTAGTTTTCCCGAATGTTACTCTAAGTCTAAATAGAAGATAATTACAATTACCAGAGAATTTTTAATACTTAAGGCACATTTAGAGCCTTTGCTAAATAAGCTATAACACCTAAATTTTAAAATTTTGATAATAAACAGGTTTCCATTCGTCTAATTATTGTGTGCGAAAATGGACTAACTCGAAAATCTGCCAACCAGAAATCAATCGTTTTAAATATTGACCACTTGTTAGTTAGGAAAATAACCAATTATATTCTGTCATATTGGTGGACGCCTACCAGTCGGCTTATGTTACTGTTTTCGTGAAACTTTCTGAATATTATCAGTACCAGGTAATTATCACTTCATCACTCTATTGGAATACATGTTCCAATTTCAGCGGATGAACCTTTGTATTTATTAGTTGCAGCATGGTTAATCTACTGGTATTCGTGTGAATATTCCGCAACTAAAATACTAACTTAAAGAAACATAGATACGTGGGACATAAAGCGCTACAAGACACACTAAAGAAAGGCATTTCCATTTCACGCTGATATGACATTTCAGCACATTCTACATAATGAACTAATCTCATAACAGGAAATACGCTGCTCGAAAGCATGCAGTAACAAAAGTATGTATTAATTGATATGTAGTTATGAAGGCAAATATAAAAATCGATCGTCTGACTAATCTTCTCCAGAAATCTGTTATACAGTAAATTTCCCAGATATACAGCATGAAATGAAAAATAAAGAGGTGTGTTAGAATCTTCTAGAAAAATCAGTAAAGAATGTTACTGTTGTGACACTCCGCCGAAATACTTGTAAATGAACTCTTCAACCAGGCCACGGTGTGAATAAACAAACCTCTAATGAATCCCCTTCTTAATATTAAGAGCAGGACTTGTAACCAAATTATATTATGTAAATGTAATCTCGTCCTCTGAATATGATAGTTTAAATAGGAATCTCCGTTCCTCGACAAAATTAATAGCTGCCTCCAGGTTGATAAAACAAGCCGTTTAGTAGAGACATTCATTTACATGAGAATAATATTGGAGAAAACTTTTTCTTATATCAAATCCATATAACTTCAGCTGTATCGGATGCATTTCAATTTGTCGACCATGATACGAATAATCTCCAGGTTTGGGCCGGATAAACATTTTGTTGCTTTTGTGTTTCCCCTGCTCACCAGTTACCTGTAAGTCTTGGTTTTTGAACTTTGGTCCCACAACAACCGCAAATGATACATTTTGTGCAATGGAGTGCTTTAATGCCACTTTTTAATATTAAACCTATGTAGATTTATTTTGTAGGTCTCTCTTTTAGTCAGAAAAGTATAATCACCCTCAGCTGACATTGGTTAGAGAACCATTGGAAAACCTGAGAGTACTGGACAGCTGTTTCGTCCTAGTTTGGTACTCTTCACAGTACGCACCCACCGGGGTTTTCCAATGGTTCTCTAATCAATGTCAGCTCATGATGAAATCCTGTAACCAACTAAATCCCTACAAACCAACACTTAAATATCTAATCACCCTCCTATCTTCTAATGGAAGGTTGGCACTTCAAATATACAAGTTGCAGTATAAAAACAAAATCGTGCAAACTGTTACGTAACCTGGCGTTATTTGGGTGGTAGTGACTAACAGTGATGTACTTAGTGGTCATCTCATCTTACTTAAGACTCGCCAGCTAGGCGTATATCCATTCTCAGTTTGATGGTATTCCCGCTGATACTCGAACCCATAACGCGTGGCTTTAATCGCCAAATCGTTATCCACTAAATAGTATGACACACCTCCTCAGTAAGGGTGCATTTCGGTTCAGTATAATTGGTCAACGGGCAATACAATATAATATAACTAAGTTATATAACCTATCTAGTGATTCAGAAAATGATACCAGCAATTTTTTCATTTATCTAGCTGTGCATTATCTTAATTTTTCCTACCAGCTAACTCCTGTCAAAATTGTTGTCTTCAACTTTATACTACTTGGAAATGGTAAGTAGTGTAAGTTTACTTTTTGTCTAATATTACCAATAGCACATTTCCATAAAGCTGCATCTGATTTGTTCTGCCAACATTCCACTGAGCATAGTAGTTCTCACACTATATATAAGGCCCACTCTCTCTAGAAGCATGTCCATTCGAAACCCGTATACCTTGCACTGTATATCTTAGCATTCCTATTTTAGACACAGATCTGCCGTTGATTGTAATGATGCACTTTGAAAGTGCTTTTGCAGACAGCTTATGCTTCTTATTATTACTTCATTGTTATACTGTGATACGAATCTTATGCATTACTGGAGCCATTGACTTAGATAACTAAAAGTTCATCTGCTCGTTTTCATTCTGCGATTCCCAGAAATCCAAACTAATCGAACCTGGTGCCTCATATCGATTTGGATTGTTCTTGATGCCCATTACCAAATGTTAAAGGAAAATTCGAGGTTACACAGTTAAGCTAACTCCGCAGACAATATTTCTTTACCGCAAGTCTATTCCTTAATTTCTCATCTCCTACCATTGGCAATTATGAACACCTTAGCTGCTTAAAAAGTTCCTGAACCTAATGAAACATCAAACTGCAACATAGAATCAGCAAAACTGATATATAGAAATTAAACAGCTTGGACAAAGCAGACAAGCTAAGGATAGTGAAGATCAAGCTGTGCGAAGGATATTATCAACCAGCTGACACAGTTCTGACTTAGTCTAAGCCAATAATCACCTGAAGTCAACCTCAAAGCAACCGAAACAAAAGCCCCAACTGGTAAATATTTCTCTGCCACTTACAGATAAGTCCAAATGTTTACCAGATCTAATGTGAAATGGGAATAGGAGTAAAGCATTACCCCAAATGAATAAAGGCTTAACGTATATCTTTCAAGTTTTCGCTAACTAATAACGTACGATATCAGTGAAAATTATAAATACCCAAAGTGGTCTATTCACCTGACATACGCTAATATTAAATTCCAACGTGATTCATACAACTGATTAAAAATGAAAATTTGAAGACCACTCGCAGCTACCGGTATAACTTTCTATTAGCAGCGAAGTGAACGTAAAATATGGAGATTTAGTTCATATGAAGCCAACATCACTATCAACGGTGTTATAAAATTAACCCAACTCAGGTAAGTCGGTTGATACCCCTCTAATTTTGGCTGATGATTATAGATCTAATCTACTTGGTTCGTGTGGATCTTTGATTGATGGGCTTTTCAGTTACCTATATTAATCAGCAGTATGCATAGCGCTCCATTTAGACTTCACAATTTTGATTTAATTTACAGTAACCAGAAAGGTATACATCATGATTCGAATGCTAATGGGTATCAGAAGGAAGCCACTAAGAAATTTCAGTGTAAACCGGTATTTCCTGAAAATATCAGATGAGCTTCTGCTTTAAAATCCCAACCATCTATTTGGTGACTAATATTAAGTGGAATAGTTTTGAACCGAAATAGACCTGCCCCGTACGTGACTGTAAGTTGGAATGTATTTTATGGTTGTTAAATCTACGGCGTACCAAAAATATGATACGTCTGAAATCAAAGATTATTAGGATACCATACATACAACTTATACACATCAATGTGTGTGGAAAACTACTGGCTTAAATTCGACTAAGGAAATGTAATGATTTTAACAGAATTCCTAGAGGCCTAGTTGTTGGATCATTAAGTACTTAACAGACACGTTGACGTTGATTTAACTTCATAAGAAACATAGTCATAATGTCAGGCAAAACGAAACAAACACTAGCAGAGAACACAATTGCAGGAAAACCACTGAAGACAACCGACAGAAAAAACTTACAAGAGAAATTTGAAGCATTAAATAATGAGGGGAAAAAATAGTCTAGCATAAGAATTTTTCTTTGGCTCGGCAACAGACTTCACGACATACAATTTGTTATCGACAGCAACAGCGAAATTACTAGAATCGATAACAATAAGTGAGCAAATACCAAAAATAATTTAAAATGATAACAGACACTAAATCATGTAGATGATCTTGAAAGTTATTTCCAACGATTTCAAACACTGAAATATCATGACGGTCAAAATCAAAGTTAGGCATCTGAATTCACAATAACATAAGCCGAGCTTACTTGGTTTCATCTACACTGGTGTTCAGTACTACACACCTATTAATAGCAATGCTTGGTTGGCCAAATTTCGCTACAACACACAAAAAGAAAATATAAACGCAACGGTAAATAGGTAACAAGGCACTGAAATAGGAGTTAGCTTCAATAAATTCGATGCTAAACAGAGAGTACACTGTGTTCCTAGGATATACCAATGATAATCTAAAAGTATCAAGGACTTTAGCTATATAGTATATGCGTCAAAAGTAATTACAAGAAATTACTATTCTAGTGAGAATATGAGTCTATTATATACAGAAAACAGATTTTCATCAAACAAACAAGTCGAGCATTAAGAGCTATTTAAACAAAAAGTGTATTAACGGTACAAAACATTGAAAAAATCTGTCGCTATTGTTGAGGTACATGTAAATGCATATGAGAAACTATATCTTTATGAAATCTAAGAAGATTAAGTAAAGGTCAACGGTTCAATACGCCTGTCGTCCATGTGAGCTTCAATAACTTGACTGAATTCGTTTTTCTTAGCTAATTTATAGCCAACAGACAGTAAATGTTTAATCTTATTATTGAGTACGTCTGCTGATTTTAATGGTCGAGCTGAAATTAGGCAAAGAAGGAGAGAAGTGGTTATTATTAATAATTAACAAAAATTAGCAATAACATCAGAGTGCGATTATATTCCTGTGTCATGAGTTAGAAATCCGTCTGAACGAAGAACATTCTTTTCAATAAATTCTTCTGAGATTCTCACAGTGATAAATTAAATATTTATCATCACTACATTAATAGCGGGCATATTTTTTTCTACGTAGAATAACATATTAGCTACAGGGTATCAAAATAAGTACTACTTAAATGGCTAACGTGCTGATTTGAATGCAGTTACAAAATATTGTGAAGTACGAGGCGATGATGATGGTTAGTCAAAATAGATTCATACAATGCATTATTGTTGTTAATTCTCCCTTGAGTTCTGAGTGGAACACAGGACTCCAAGCAGCATATCTTCATTGAATTTTGTTCCTAGCAGTCATTTTCGCCTGTTTCCACGACTTCCTACAAGCTTTCATTTCCTCTTCATATGATCTCTTCTATACCACACCCTCCTACTCCCACGTCATTGCTTCCCGTTGGGTTTCCCCACTCGACGGCCTGGCGTGTGATGTCACTCAATGGCCTACTCCAGTGCATGTTCAACAAATCTTGATTTCTTTCTGAATATTTGCTTACTAATTGATTGTTGGTTAATTTTCTGCCACAGCCATTCCTTGTTATTTGTCCTTTCTGGTAGGTCACCTTCGATATCAGGCGCAAGCACGTGTTAAAGAAAGTCTGAAACCTGCTGAAAATGCTTCCAGTGGGTCAGTAAGACTCTGAAACATATAGGAGCACCAACTTCATATTAGAGTTAAGATTTTGGATACTGTTTCTTGCGCTAAGTGTTACGAACGTCGACACTGAACTCACAGTAATAAACTCTTGTCTTGCTTAGACATGCAATGTGGGGAAGAAATATTGAGAGATTAGTTCAAGGTTGAGAAACACGTTTGATGAATGGCTAGGGCAGAGACAGTATGAAGATAGTATGACTGTTGTGAGTACTTCACAATGGAATAATCAATATGTGAAAAGAATGACATGGAGTTATATAATGAGAAAAGAAATCAGAAGAATTTGTCAGTGCCTGAATGTATAGAAAATTTGAGTGTCCGGCGACAATGCTACAATGATGAGTAGATATTGTATAAAATGATTTTGATAAATACAAAGTCGCGATTCAGTCACAATTATGTCAGCACGTTTGCCACATGAATACTAATCATTTTCCAACTTATAACTAATCTGCTATTCTATGTAAAAAGCATGTATCTGCCACATAACTGGCTATTACTGTGGTGATAATATTTTATTTATAACTGTGAGAAGCAGAAAAGGGCATACTTCAATCGGACTGAACTTTAATCAACGCTAAGTGAAAAAAACAACTATATATATATATATACGAAGAATAATCGGTACCTGAAGTGACTGAATGGCAATAACAGTTAGTTTGCTTTATTTGAGAATCTGAACATCATTAAGTCCCTGTTGGAAATAAATAACACCTAAACACACTAGTTATTATTTCCAAGATGTGACCTGTATTTCACACTGGGAAATAAAGAGTTCAGAGACAATGAATCAACATAAACACTACGACACCGTTGTGTCAATATTCTTCGAGTATTTATACTTGTGATAAAGCTTTTTCAGGAATATGCAAGTGTCATGCGGCTTCAGAAAACTTTACAGATCAGTATAAAAACTGAAACATTATACGCACGAATGAAAAGTAACAAAAAAACTAAAACGCTGAACTCGATACCCACAACAATATTATTCGGTGAACATAAATAGTAGTATAACTGTCTATAGTGCTTTTAATATTACCTTTCGGATGGAACGCTAATAAAGATAAACCCAACTCTAAACCCTGTCCAAAATCTCCTTCATCATTGGCAAAGTTGGCATAAGTAATCAATTCATCAAGTGGAATGAATTTAGCTAGTTGTGCCTCGTTCGAATTTGCATTGACGATGCTTTGCAATCTAGAGTTTAGTTCAGCTATGAAAGGAAGAAAATCAGAAGTGAGTGTTTAAAATTCAAAGTATCCAAAACTGTTTTTAATGGATATTCGTGAGGTACGTGACCCAACTGGCAGTTTACAACCAAGAGAACTAAAACAAGTACAGAAAGTTTTACTGTACTTATTTACAACACATAAACACAGTTGGTTACATAGCTGATACAAAAAAAACAGTAAAACTGCGGAAACATTACTTAAAGAACCGATCATACTATCCACTATCCAAGATGACACTGATTATCACAAATACATAGAAATCGGAGAAACGAGACTAGTCACTATCTTATATTAGACTTGTTAACCTAATGACAGGTTCAAATAGCTTTCATCTAGAACAGACATCAGTTAAAGAACTGCTGAAAACAAGAGAGCAAGGGATGTGAGTTCCATCCTGCTCTGTAGTGATTCAAGAAAGTGAGTCCATATTCCACCAAAAATCAACCATGGGACTCTCAGGCTACGAGACAAGAAGGTTATCATCCAATCATTAAATTGAAATCAAATGTCTACGTTCTCCAAAGTTGTCAGTAGGTATGTATCCTCGTAAACCTAAAATTTGGAAATTTCCTAATGTCATCCACTATTTTCGGCATGAAATAGTATTACATTACCACGGTTGTTATGAACTTTGTAGATTATGAAAAAGCTGTTGATCACCTTAAAGTCGGACCCTATGAGAAAGTCAACATGACAAAGTCAAGGCGACACTGAATAAATTGAAGGCTGAAGCTCGATTTAACACTGACTTACTCTGGCTACAAAAGTTGCAGTGCCTGTATATTTTATGGAATACCAAAAATACACAAACTGGACGTTCCATTACGTCCAGTTGTGGGTTTTACTAATTCCCCAGCCTACAAACTCTCTGAATACATCTGTCGAATACTAAGTCCGTATGAAACGAAAGTGGAATATGGAGTCAGGAATTCGTATGAATTTAGGAGAAAAATGAACAAAACTTGTATTGAAGATGAAGTAATGGTAAGTTTCGACGTTTATTAATTATTCACGAATGGTCCCATTAAAGATTCTTTAAGTATTATTTATAATTCACTTCTTCCTGCCAACGAACTCAGTACTCGTTGTCATTTAAATACGGATGAAATTATCAAGGCATTGGGATTGTCTACGCTTCACGTTAAAGTAAAAGTACGCACTGTTTACAGTGTTTAACAAAAGTAGACTAATATTTGTTAGAAATCTAAGGTGAAATCTTTATCACAGTTCATACAGTTTTGTTAGTTATATTTTGAGGCCTGTTCATATGACTGAACAAAGTTTTTGAAAACAAAAGATGCCATTTTTATGCGTAAACTTTTGTTATTTTAATTTCAGTTACTTTCCCTGAAGAAGTTCGGATCAGTTTACCGAATGGAACGCTGGGACTACTCATTTCAATTTCTCTGAGATTTTACAAATATATATAATTTCTACACATCGTATCCACCTTTGATCCTTAAACGGTCTTCGAAAACTTTCTCTAAAAGTGTCTTCAATGTTCCTTGTGGAGCTGTAGCAGATTAATCACGATGCTCGACTTACAAGGATTAATCCGTGGGTTGGCATTCTATTTTACCTACCGAAGTTTCGGTAGCCGAATAGTAGAATTAGTCCTAACATAAAAATATGGCTCAATGCTAAGTTCTTACAAATACAGGTACTAAGTTGTTGGACAGCAATTCATTTTCAATTTTTATATTCAGTTTTCCTTTCTCCAATCTATGATTACCAACGAATCAACTTGACAACCAGTAAGAAAGTTAACTAAATTGATGTACGCTATTGGCCTCATTCAATGATGACATACACAAAAGGCTTCTATAGGCTTCAGAAAATGTTAGTGTCAAGCCCTTTACAGCCTAAGAATGAGGACTGAAAATGAAAATCACTGTAATTACTCAAAATGTGTCAAGTTTAATTGACGGTTTTTTGGGACAACGTCGTTCGTAAACTACATTTCCGTTTAAGAGAAAATAATTGGTTACCTATTACAGCTATTGTGCAGTTATTCGCTCAGTCCTACTTTACAGCAGCGACACGGCTGGGGTAAAAGTGTAGGATTTGAATAGATTAGTGTTGGCCGCATTCAATCACATATTCTTAGTGGAGCAATACGGTGAACGATTACGAGGCTGGGCTTAGTGTTGGGTAAGGGGGGAAGACCAATCGATGATGTTGTGAAAATGCATTCATTGAGACACCCGGGACACGTGTTACACATGTCGAGCCATTATCTTGCTCGAGGAACAATTCAAGCCGAAAGACAATTACGGTAGGTGGTCAGAATAAAAACTGTCACTCATCTACGAAGTTTCTGATTGTTGGCTTCAGTCACGTAGGGGGGGTGTGAACCACCTAGCTGAGGCTCTTAGCTTGCTAAGAACCAATGTTGGGAGTTTTCTGGAGATATGATTCTACACTAACCTCAATGAAGCTAATGTATTCATATCTTGTCATGTGAGAGACTTTTGAAATCCGCAATGTTTTTCCTACCGCACATTTTCATTTAGTGTAGTTTTGCTTTGTGCTTTTCGAAATGATGGTAACTAAAAAGGATACACTTCTCTAGGATGGAATAAAATGGCCCATGAATTCTAACTTCCACTTATTGGCGATATATGCCACCACAGTCAGCCAATTTCCAAGGAAAGTATTTGTCCTCACGCCTGACCTAGTAGATCTCACTGGCCATCGCTAAAACTCCAGGCGACTTCATCTCATAGTCAGTAATCAGTGAGCATTAGATTAATTCCATTATGGGTCAAATTTGTTTTGATAAAGTCTCACAGCGTTACACAGTATTATTTACTGATGACGTTTCGAGCAAAAGTTATTGCTCATAATCATATCAAGGTATGATATGAGCAATTATGAGCAATAAATTGTGCTCGAAACGTAATCAGTAAATAATACTGTGTAACGCTGTGAGACTTTATCAAAATAAATTTTACCCATAATGGAGTTACAATATACCACAGTGCACAAGTTTTATTCTCATATCAATGAGCATTAGAATAAAATGGCAGAAGTTAGGATTCATGGTCCATTGAATTCGGCCTCATCCACTGAATGACCAATGGGCTGGTAATGTAACCTGAAAGTCGCAGATTCGATTTCCAGTTGGGTGACGGGTGAGCACTGCTGAAGAGTCGAAAACCAAAACAAAACAGCATTCCAGTACTTCCTGGTCTTCAGTGGTTCTCTGAATGAAAGCATCTGGTGACTCAGCTTGATATCAACCGTATCCCTGCAAGGCAACACTTGGAAATGTTCTTACGAATCCTTTTAAAATTCTATTGGAAAGAATAATGACAACACAGAAGTAGACTGAAGATGTCTACATATTTTTCCTATTCCTTTACGTTCCCAGTGGAACTTAGGGCTTCACGCTAGAGGGTTGAAGTTTCAGTAGCAGTGTTTTTCATTTTTACGGGATGAGAATGAGGGTCTTATGCCCAGCCTTCCCTCTTTACCAGCCTTATTATTTGCTTAGCGAGGTAAAGGAGTCCGTCAGCCGGGGATCAAACTCCGAACCACCTACGTGGTTGGCGAGTATTCCACCGCTGTCATCGACGCATTTATAGTTTAATTATAAATGTAAGTAAATCATAACACCAACTGTTACGAACATAAAACACGGAGAAACTTAAAAGCTCTCAAAGAAAAGAAACAATTGGAGTCAAAATGCATGAGTAATGCAAACTAGAAACGCTTATGATTACCCAGAAAGATATGCAACAACCTAAGAAAGTTGACCATGCGTCATGAATTGCAGTAAAACGGATAAACTGCAGCTAAGCAAACTACAAAAACATGTTGACAAAAAAATGTGAGAGAAATAACATGGGCAAATATTACCATTATTACTACTACCATACACGTATACGGTCAATCTCTTAGGAAATCTGCTATTAAGAAAATAATAAATTTACTTGAAATTTTCTGGTCCAACTTACAGTAAGAAACACTTATGGGACGATAGCCAATGTCACCTTCAGATACATCAATCATCAGGCCTATACTGTTTGTTGTGGCACAAACTTGATGTTTCTTCCTATGCTTTATAACTTACATTTCATCAAACAGAATGTTACACACTTACATGAGGAGGAATCATCAATTAGAATATTCTTAGCGGATACAAACTCATCAAAACTTTCCAACAAATGACTAGTATGACAAGATGTTTTCCGGTCAAGTACAGTTCTGAAATAACAAAGTGTTACTGAAATTCTCGAACCTCAGAAAAGCAAACAGATTTTGACCACAATACTCAATTACTCCACTGATTGTAGCTGTTGACTTGGCGACGAAGGGGGTAGATTCATATGAATCTCTGAGTAAATTATTTTTACGCTATATGTTACCTGAAATAACCTATATGAGACTGGTCATTACTACACACAACCACAGTCACAAACTCAGGTGGATCATGATAAAAGCGGTAGTGATTAGACCACTGTCCTTTCTTAACCTGATCTTTAGATCCATAATGAAGAATTTCAAATGGCCCGACCAAACGAAAGCCAATCTCAGACAGTGCATCTAACAGAAAGTATAAAAATATGTCACTGCTTTCAAACCAAGTGGGGCATCGTTGCTAAGAGTTTTACAAAACTCATAAAAACTAAGAAAATCTGGTGGACATTTGAGATAAAATCCTTGATCAATCAGTGAAATGCGCTCCTGTATTTGTTCGGAATTTAAACATCCGAGCAGTGAAGCCCCATTTTGGGAATCCTTTGTTTTTTTGGAAACGGGTGGATTTCGTTGCTCAAGTTTGACATTTGAATTCCGCTTCCTTGATTTTTCCGTCATAATTGGGAAATTTCGACGCAGAAACTTCTACTTTATCACAAATGGAGATACAAAAATTAAAAAAAAACCAAGTTAGTCAAAATAAGTAAGAACCGGATAAAAATTTGAAGTTAAGAATGAAACAAAGTCTGCTGACATAAGTAACAGTAGCATTCATCAATTTTAATAGATTATTGACTGAACTTCAGCAAAATTTTCAGAACTCGAAGAAACTAAGGAAAAACTCTCCATGAACCATCCACTCCTCAGCTGAACTCGAATCAAATTCTAATTAACTGGATATTTCTAAAGAGCTTTCTAACAGCGAAGAATCTTACATCGACTTCGTACACACTGTCAGAATGTACTCATTTGATCTCGCAGGCATGCTTTTTTCCAAAATCTTTTCTGATGCCAAAAAAGCGATGTTCACCATTTATTCAGTATTTGATATTATTAGTGAAATCCACTAATGCTGGACCGACAGCTACCACTTCACCGTTGTGGTCGGGTTTGTATATTCCAATAATCCAACAAGTTAAACTGGCTGAAAGAAATGTTTTTTAGACTCTATTATAGCCACTAGACTGGAAACAGATGCCATCACAGAGTAAGTTGCTTCCTGCATAGTGCAGCGGAGGAGGGTAACCTTGCTGCTGGCCAGTAGGGATAACAGTGGTGGCGACCAGCAAGCCTCTGACATCAAGGAAAACTTATAAAGGGTTGACTCTAAAAACTGTACATCTCGACTATCGCTACAGCAAACCGTAGCTAACCAAGAGGTCTTGTTTACGGATGAAATTAAAAACCTCTACATGCGAACAGTCTTTAACTGGCCTCAAATAGTTGTTTCTATGGCTCAACGGCTATGCAACACTCATATCAAATAAGTAGTGACACCTCAAATTATATCATTAGCCTTTTACAGGATGACAATGAAATGGGTCACAAACCCAATATATGGTGAATAAAGACATCAAAAACCGCTTTATTTGAATTATGCAAAGATTGTTACACTAATTGAAGTATTTCAAGGCTTCCCTTTCTGTTGGTATGTGCTGAAGAGAGAAAAGGAACATGTTTCCAAAAATCAAGGTTTAATCATAAGAACCTTGGGTGCACCTACGGTATACGAATGAGGAAGTTTCAAAATTATATCAACGGCCAACAGCTAGTAAATCCTTTGATGTGTAAACTTGAAATCCTTTCCTCAGTGGCTGAACCTTTTCTATTTAATAAGGTCCAGTAATACTGGAAAATGTCTTTTTCCTAAGGCAATGCGCTTAAACTTACGACGCCTATCACTGAGTATTTGTTAAATCACCTTAAGTCTGCAGGGACATTTGTCAAGCATTCAGTAGGTATCGAACTGAAGAATTTCATACTACGATATGCATCTTTATATGGTTCGGAGCACGTGGCTTACAATGTGCATTCATTGAAGCCCTTACCTCAGGAAGTCATAGTGCATAGGGAACTGGGACGTTTCTCTGCTTTCCCATTCGAATCCCATATGAGTAATATTAGAAGTAAGGTGAAATGTGGCACCGTTGCAACTAAACAGGTAGCCTAAAGGCTTATGGAACAGATGTGCGCATGAGTAGAAGCTGCGCTAACTGCATTGTTTTCCTCAGAGATACTAGATTTTGAAGTATATAGGGTTAAGGATACCATTTACATGGTTAATTACTAGCTCACCACTTATCCACCTGATAATGTAGTGGTAGTAGTTGTAGTTAACACTACCCCAGGAATTATAACAGCAATCTACGACGACCACACAATTACGTTACGGATTTCACGAATTTCTTCAACAATCTTTTTGAATCGAAAGGTGTTGGAAACCAGTAGGTTAAACAACTTTGTTGCATTTCTATTAAAGACAGTTGAGTTACAACTACATTGCTTGGAGGACATTTGACACACTCGAAAGAGAGCACAGTATCTAAGCAGTTTGATGGAGATACTACCCTAGAAAATGACGAAATCTCAGTAGTAAAGCACTACAGAGAGTTTCGTAATTTCATCACTAGAAATTTGCAGCTGACAGATAACAGCTTCCTCTACAAAAACGTCGACTCAGAGGTAGACGAAATGCAGGTTGGATGTAAACCGGTTATATATCCAAGAGTGAATTTGTTCAGTGACATTTCGCCTGCTGCAATTATTTCACTCTATTACTTCCAAACTTCAAAGCATCGTCACCAATTTCAACTGCTGGTGCATCAAAGTAACGCAAGATTTGTTACCACTCAATTCATGTAACAGAAGCAGTTGGGAAAGGTGGATGGACAAAGTGAAAGACATGATAGGGTTCATGTCAATTATGTGTAATATCCTTTTGGCCTTCATCTACATAATTTCAGAAGCAATGACCTTACTAAGTTAGCGGTTACAGTTAAGCAGCTAGCGTCATCAAAGAAGTGTAAACATCGTCCCACTCACTGCAAATTCATCAACTCATTGGAAGTGACGAGGATTTGCTACTCTTCCATCAGTCTTTTAATTATTCGAAAACAAGAGACAACTTCGTAAGTCACACTTTAACCTTTAACTATCTGCTGATCGTGCACTCGGCAAGTTCCCTATCATCGGATGCTAAGAAGACAATGAAGAATATGTTGAAATACATTATGCATCCCAGTTTCCGAGCACACTACACACTAAACGGTACCGTGAAGAGACCGGGATTACGAAATTATGCTCTTGATCAAGTTATTAGAAGTAAGCACTGCAAAACTATGTTGACGTTTAGACTTTATTAAATCGCAGTTTGCAAGTTAATTTAATCATGAGACTGAATTCAAGAAAAGTACAGACTTCGCTACGCAGAATTACCTTCATGACTTAAGAGATAAATCACAAAAGCGTGTGGGATAAAAAGCATTATGAAAATAACAATTTTATTTCTTGGTAAATGTCACTCGTTTCCCATCCCGTCTTACCATATTGCTCCATCAGTCTCATAATGGACTGCGGGATGCTTTCTAAATTAACTTTTGATCAATTCCCTTTTAGCATTAATCAATGGTTGCAAAGACAAATAATAGATTGGTTGTGGAATTTCATCATGAGCTGCCATCAGCTGGAGAACCATCGGGGAACCTAGGAATACTGGACAGTCGCTTCGCCCTAGTTTGAGATCCTTCAGAAACACACACCCACCACAGTTCGAACCCGATACCTTCTGGTTACAAGGTCAGACAGCTCGTGAATCATTAGGCTACTGGGACCCGATGCAATGGCCAATCCATGAATTCTAGCTTCTGTCAATTCATAACGTAGCGCGGCCATTTCGCAATGTCTTTTTCGATGAGTTACTGCCTCACCTTCAACCTGCTGCACCCTACTGGTCGCGACTCCCTCCTAGAACCCCAGGTAACTACCTGAATAGAACCAATCACCAGTGGGCATCAGATCAACTTTCAAGTATTGGTTTTGTGGGGATATTGTTTTGATTGGTTGGAGGATTTCATCACAAGCTTACATCAGTTAGAGAACCGTAGGAAAACACGGGAGTACTAGAGTCGCAAGCTAGGACGAAACAGCTGTCCGGTACTCCCAGCTTGTTTTCCAATAGTTCCTTAACTGATGTCACCTCATAATGAAATTCTCCAACAAATTAAGACAAAATCTCTACAAAGCCAATACTTGGAAACAATACATCACCAGTGAGTGAGGTCACATTTCCTATTTCGTACGCAAAATAAGCATAGATAGGTACCTCATTGATGTCTCTTGCGAAAATTCAGTGTCGACAGTGAAACAGAGAGTACAGCAGATCAAAGAATTCGAAAAAGGGACGATATTCTTACGTTACAAACGTAAATAATGTGCAGATTCAAATTTTCAGGAAAGGTTTTGTATTTCCTAATGAATGAAAACAACGAAATTCTTACTGACGTTTCGCTCTGTAGATACATAAGTACGTATAAAATATATCCATTTTTCCACTAATCATTGTGATATATGTGTACGATTCATTGAGAATCAATGAGGGAATGTTTTTGGAAAAAATGTAATTCCAGCATTGTGTCCTATACCTCCTATAAAAGTATTTTTGCAGCTGTAATTATAGTGGAGTTCTCCAGTCAATTAATGTCGTTAAGTGGTTGGCAACATTATGGACAAAGCCACGAAAGCTTACTTTCATAATCTGAAAGTGCCCAAGGGCGTATGCTGAAGAAAGTAAGCCAGGTAATATTGCACAACGCTTGCTTCTAAAGCCAAAGTTTAATCAACAAGTAGTGATCGCAACAATAATTTCTATTTCTAGGAAATTGAAAAAAACCTTGGGAGGAAACAGTGACAGTTATGTAAGTACACTTTTTTAAATGTAAATGGTGAAAAATGTAGAGCAGATGTCTTCCTCAACTAATTTTATATTTTGCTTATTTGCAGATTGCTGCCAGTGGACCTCGACGGATCTGCAGTGACACTACTGTTATATTAAACCAAAATACTCAAAAGAGTGATTTCTTTATGAAAACTCAATGAATGGAGTGAGCATAGGGTGCAGTAAATTATAACTAGCAGCAATGTTTCCGTAATGTGTTGAATATGTCAGTTCCTTCGGTAAAGGATTTAGGGATCGCTGAACTTATGATTGTGAGTAGCGGTAGCATACGCGTGGGCAATCATGAAAGGATGCTAGCCAACGCTAGTTTATGGTCGAAATCACTCTGAAAAATTACCAGTATACACTGATCATCCCGAAGTAATTCCAGCAAGTGGTGAATCTGGGCTGAGATGGCTGAAAGAAGGCTGATAAGCAAACCCAGTAGGTTCTGAGCTACTTAGGAAAAGAACCCAACTAACATTTTCTTTGGGTGCACGGCAGAATTTTGAGCGAAATCTTCGGGCGCATTGCAGAACGCGGGAAAGTGATCTGTAGTCTGTCTCGAAGTTCTACAGTGTGTCCGGAGTCAATGCTGTTAACAGCTGAATTAGTGCTTTCGATTTGGCTGGAACTCATGAGTTCTAGTTTGTGTATATAATCAAACTATTTTAGAACAATTTCAGGACAAGCTAGTTATTGAAAGTCTGAGTTCAGAATTAGCGAAATTTACTTCACCAATAGTCCCAGGTGTGCCCACTAAATAACTTTGAGGCAGACTGCAGATAATTTTCCCACTTTCTGCACTGCAACCGAATATTTTACCCCGAAATCTCTGCAGTACGCCCGAAGAAAATGCTAGCTGGGGTAAGTTTGGGATGTTGCATTATCCGAAAATTCCCTAAATAAGTGGCGCCCAGGTCTCCTCCATATTTTTAATTTGGAGTGAATCTTTCTCCTAAACAGTAATCTACATAACTGTTAGCATCAAAGTAGTCCCTACACATAATATGCACCCGTATGCACCAGCAAACTCACTTAAACGCCGAAGGATGTACATAAACGTTACCGCGATGCTGTGACAGGAACAGTTATTCTAAACAAAATCATCTCACCACAATTTAGAAAAAATAATTCTTCCGAAGTTATTAGTATTAAGCCGTAAAGGTGTTTGTCAAAACATGGCTATTAATTAATTAATAACCTTGTTTGATTATTAAACGCTCTGACTGCGATACACTTCGCTGGGCCGTTGGACTGCGCAATTTACCCAGTTCAGGAACTTCCTGAATTTCCCCAGAAAACCTCACAAATCTGAAAAATGGCCACGAATTTTCAATTTTAAGAAACACTCCTCGAACTAACTTGTATAATACCTACTGTTTCTGTGAGGACGTTCCCGGTTATGATAATACACTGATTGTTATGTCAACCAGCACACTATATGAGCATCTGTCCTGTGGAAATGGTCTGTTCAGCATAAAATTTCGACGTACTCAAGCATTGTTGAATTTCCAAAATACTAAATTTTCACATGTTTCGAAGTCTGAGGTGGAATCAGGCTCTCAAGTAATAAATACAGCAAACAACAGAGCATGAAACTGTGGATGGTACTGGTGAATGCTTATAGTGGAATGAGCTTTATTAATGCACTATATACATGCGTTAGCTGGTGTTACATTCTTGTTTGATGTCCCATTATTTAGAATAGTTAATCTTTAAACACCAGTAAATACCAACAGAGTTTGACCTTAAAAATGTCCCTTGATCAGTAGGTTAGTCAAACTTGGTAAGTGATGTTGTAATCGGGAATAAAATATGCTTTGTGAAGTGCTTTGATTTTAAACAGGATATCTGGTAGGTTTTCGTTGGATTTGGGAAAGATCCACTTAAGGTTTGTACTTAGGACAAGTTAAGGCAGGGTTAACAGGTTATGGGAGATATTAGAGTAGGTTTGAGTTAGAATATTGTTATCTCATGGTTAGTCTCGCGTTAAGGTGAGGTCAAAGAATATTTGGGGTTGGTTTGTAAGTTAGAACACCTACATGAACGTACTTATAGGGTGTGGAATAATTACCGTACTGACACTCCTACCCAAAAGTGTGTGATATTTAACACAAGTCAGAGAAGGGTATAGTGTGTAACAATTCCGCGCCTTCCTATTTATTAATTCCACAAGCAAATGTGTCTTATGAGTAAAAACCATCATTTTCGTGTGATCATCGCGTTCAAGGTCACTTGCTAGCTGCTGCAGTTTGTTGCCTAAAGTTTGACTCCCCTCTTATTTTTATCGTGTAATTCATCTTACCGTTTGCAGCTGACAGTGGCGATAATAAGAGAAATAGCCTAAGGCGTTGAAGTGCGTCGGTCAGTACTTTAAATTCTATTATTCGATAGTCCGCTAGCCTAGACATACTTTAGAAAGTATAGAAAGGGAATTACCTAGATATGTTACGCGTCTAGATCACAAAGACCCTGAACGTATCGTTGACTTCGGAATGCTATGCCTAACGTATCGAATACCGTGCACAGTAACCAACGAGGAGGACCAGAAAACTGAAGGACTATACGATTGTTTATTTATTGAGAGGGGACTTATATAGTGACAGAATATTAAGTCCAGTACGTTGTCACCACTTGTTGGGATCGTGACAGTTTGTTTCCAGCCAAAAATATCCGGTGTACCTGATAGCTTGTCATATTTAGCTGGGCCTGTTTATAAATCCCAGTTGATTTAGAGTTGGTTCACATGTGATCTTATGCTCGTATGGAAGAGTGGATACTTGCTCCAGTCCATTTATAAGTTACCTCGTAATCACTAAATGTGCCAGGTGCTCTGTAGATACATCCTATTAGTAGCGTAGCACTTTTGAATTATACCTTGACCCATACGGTGTCGTGCATGACATTCAGTTCCCTAGTTTCTATCTTTAGTACAGCGTGTTCAGGAAGTATATTAAACAAACTCCTTCCATATCACTGTCTTTGGCACATCGAAATTGTGTGTGTGCCCATCGATGCCTCTCTATTCGTCTCGTATATTGGAGTGACACTGAGATTCAGTAATAATAATTATTCGGGGTTTGTATACCAGCGTGTGTGCCCTGAGCATCGGTAGCTTTTTAGGATAAATCTAGAATTAATAAGTATTAAGTAGAGTTGAGAACTGATGTAGTGTTTGAAGCGTTCAAGCTCGTCGATAAGGCTGAAGTGTGGATCGCCATCTACTGGTTCTGCATGGCACAACAACCCTGTGTTGCAATTAGTGTGAGTTTCATGTGCACCTACGTCTGTCGGGTTACTATCTACTTCTTTGAACGAATAATGAGTTTTATTATTGGATTCATTATAGGATGAGGTAGTTTTAGGCTTGGTTAGGAGTTATTATTTGGCCTATGCTTGTACAGGCATTGGATGTGATTAATAATTCCGTGTGCACTAGCCTGTGTCTGGTTTTTTCCCGATAGGGAGCAGACATTAGTGGTATGGGTTCAGAAGAGTTAGCATCCCTACCAGTTGTTTGGTTGGCACTGACAGGGATGTGGTGGATAAAAAATCGTTGGTTCGTTGTGATGCTCATGACCTATTAATCTGTCTATTGTTTGCAGACATTCCAAGTGTCCTTACATGGGTTTCATTATATGCATTGCTGCACTATGATTTGATTCCCAGCAGACTTGTTCTGTATATTCTGTCAAAGTTTGTTCGTGTGTCATACTCCGAAGACCCGGATCGGCTGGTACCGGGTTTCTGCATGTTGCCACTCGCACTGTTTTGCGTAATGGTTTCGCTACGCCAGCTACTAGTGTGACTTGGCACAGTAGGCGGGCAAGTTTTTCCGTTATCGTCCGTAGATTATATGGCCTTATTTTTGCTTTTCATGTAGTTGTTAATACTACTTTGTGTCTCACTTACCCGACAGAATGCATTCTTTTTAGGAGTTCGAAAATGTACAGGATTTTTCGTTATGAGTGATGTATTTCGACATGTGTTGTTACCGAATTTCATTTGAACTCTCACGTTATGGCAAGGAGAGGATTCTGTCGACTACCGAGGGACATTGAATTCTACCTTAGGGTTATCCAGAAACATATCTAGATCCATATCAGAGTGAGGAGAGGTTAATTTGGGAGTAAGATTATAGTTCACAAGTTTTTCGTTTGTTTTCGAGTTCTGTTGAGCTGGTTTTGTGACATTTGAGAGGGTTAAGACCTTGAGTTCTATCGTGTTGGCCGCGGGTTTATCTATTCTGGTAACTTGCAGTGTCTTGCCCTTTTTATCATTAGTGAGGTGATTATAAGCCCGCCTTTCAATCTCTGTCTTATTTGCTATAACATTTATTAGTTTGTAGCTCGTATCCTGTAAAAGGATACGTTGTGAATTGGTTGATTCGTCAGCCCCTGTCAGTGTTTCAAACTGAAGGCGTGTAGAGCAGCAGTGGTCGTGCCGACACTTTTTCAGTCTGTGGCACTTTGCCTGGATGTAATGCATTCTCGCCAAACAAAGTGAGATACTTTGAAACTTTTCCAAACCCCTCTTATCTGATTTATTGTAGACTACCGCACATACTTTAGTACCCAGTCTTTTGATGACCTCAGCTATGATGAAGCATGTCAGAGTGTATACCTTGGTTACCAGGGTTTCTGGTTCTGTTCGGGATGCTGTCAATTTAGTTGAAGACTGAACGATCAATTCATGGTTGTATGCTCAAACCAAAATCCTCCATATTTTTCGCGGGAGTCATCAATCCAGCAGTCACATTGTTTCCTGTTCAGTGGAAGATAAAAAACTGTCAGAGGTATTATCGTGATTTATTGTTATAATATTTATTCTCAGATCTTGTGTATAATAACCTTACTGTTGGTTACATGTTGGCGTAAAATAAGGGATTCCCGAGTGGCCAATCTGTGTTCTGGTTTTCGCGTTGATTATTGCAAATGGTTTCTCAAAGTCTTCCAGGGACACCGTGTGGTCCCGCATAGTAAGATCTGGACATTGACAGTTTCTGAGAGTTGGCTGGCAGTTTCTGATAGTTTCTGTTCGTCTTTACTGGTGCCTGCCAGTCTTCTTTGAACAAGTATTATCTGGAACTTCTCTGGAATTTTTGGTCAAGTTCAATAATGCCTGGATTAAAGAAAGGACAAAGCGTCTTGGAAGCAAGCAGGAAAGTAAGTAATGTTGACATGTCTGTTACATGTAGTGTTGTGTGTGATGTTAAGCATGATAAGGTTGATTTTAATGTTTCGTCGTCTAGAGATAATAGAAATATTAGGCTGCCTGAATATGCGCCTCGGTGTTTCGACAGAAACTCAGCTGACTATCCACAGTTTGTAAGGGAGTTTGAAGTAATGTTGAGTGGGTTTGCAATAAATGATGAAATGAAGTTAATCTATTTGTTCAGGTACTGCACTGGAGTTCCCGAAGAGCTGTACAGTGCTATAAGTTCGTGTCCCCAAAAGAAGGATACTCTGGGGCTATGAGTATATTGCGTCAAATATAGGGAAGACCTTCGATGATTGTAGGGAAATTATTCGACGCTGTTAAGAGTAATGGTGGTCAACTTCAAGATGACTCCAAAGTACTTACTGAGTTTTTGAATAATTTGCTGATTTACAAGAATGCAATGATTTCGATGAATTGCATGAGCGACCTCAACTCGAGTTTTATACTAGAGGTAATAGCAAGACGCCTACCTACTCGACTGCAAAGGAAGTGGGTGAAGATAAGCTCCCGTATGGAGGATGAGGGTATCGAGCCAAAATTTGATGATATCCTGAAACTGGTAAAAGATAGCGTCAATCAAGCTATGAGCAAGTTTGCCAGTATATTGAATCTCACCCCTAGAATAGAGCAGTCTGAGAGCAAAACGCAATCGTTGATGACGAAAGGGTCTCAGAGAGGTGGATATCGAGAAGGCTCCATGATGTCTAGTAATGCATATAGACCTGGTGTGTGTAACAGGTTTCGTAGTACATCCTCAACAGATAAGTTGCAAGATGCAAGACAAACACGGTTGTGTTTTACACGTTTGCAAGTGGTGCATACAAAGGTGAACTGTGAACCAGTGAGCAAGTTTAGTGATA